AGATCCATCACATTTCTCATGGATTCAAGGCTTGATAAGCTGAAACAATCAATCAACAATGTAAGTAACTGAACATGTAGTAGGTTGTTTTGAGAAACATAGGCACTCAGCTTACCTTAAGCCCTCAATTTCTGTAGCCATAGTTTCGTCGAGCCTTCTAAATGAACCGATGGACATTAAATTCATAGAAGATGAAGAAGAATGTGTCACTGGAGGTGGTGGTGCAAGCATCAGGGGTGCTTCTTTGGAACGTTGTGGGAATGTCACCCCACACCGCTGTCGATTCAAAAGGAATGAGAGGCTAATAATAAGTTAAAGAATGAAAGATAGATAAATTTCTAAGAAAGTGGGGTTACTTTAAGCTCTTGGTATGCCCAATTATAGTGAGGGTATTTACAAGGAACTCCACTGAATGCTTCATTCCAAGTATCCAACAATAGCAAGATTCTGTTCCTTACTTCAAAATCACCCTTTCACACAATTTCAACACTCAAACATATCAAAGATTATTATATCCACAAAATAAAAAAATGGAAAAAAGAGGGTGACTTGGAAGGGTTAAAAAGAGAGCTCAGAATAAATAAATAAAATAACCTTTTTCCTGACAATCTTAACCATATCTTCAAGAAGATGTTTCTCAGTGATATGAGAATGCACAAAGTCACCACAGTTTTTGAGCATTGCCTCCAACAACTAAGGGGATGAAGATAGTGGATGCAGTTATAATCAAGAGACAAGACAGAGCATTCATTCATGAAAAGGAAAAAGAGATAGTGTACCGTTAAAGTGAGTAATTGCACTTTAGAACTCTTGTGCTGCAATCTTCTCTTCACGGCTTTGATCGCATCTTTGCATTGCCTGCCAAAATTTCAACATCAAGATCAGGATTCATGATGATAACTAAGCAAGATCATCAAATATTTGTGAGATTTACCAGCGATTAGAATTGAGGGAATCGCAGATGGCGATGATGATGGTCCAATCAGGAGTGCGGAGAAGCTCGCTTGTGGCTTTGTCCACCGCCACTGTCACTGAAGACAGCGTAAACGAAGGAGAAGCAGAGGATGAGGAAGAAGAAGAAGATGGCCTCATTTCCGAATTCCACACAAATTCTCATCTAAAAATGCCTTTATTCCACAAATTCTCGTCTAAAAATAGTATGTGAAATGTCTCTATAAATAAATAAGACTCGTCTTGTGGAATAAATAAATAAGACAAATTCGTTCCACACTTGTTTTGGGCCATGTCTTCTCAGTAACACCCGGTCCCACTCCTCCAGCAGTTATTACCACGTGGATTTGTCTGATTATTTTACTTCCTGAGACCTACAGCAAGTGTGTTTTCAATAACCATTTGGGCCGTTAAATATTTTGAGATGGGCTTGGGTTTTATTTTTTTGTATAATTGTATATTTCTCATTAATGTTTTTTAAAAAAAAATATAGTATGTGAAATGTCTCGTCACTAACATAAAATTTTGTAATGATTGATATACAAGGTACAGTTGGTAGGAGAATCGAAACATTAATGCAAAATTAATTATATATTCTAAAAATAGAAATCATGTGAAGAAAAGATAAATACTCTATTAGTAGTTGTACTCATTAAAGTTTGCTTATTTTACAACTGAAATGATCACACAAAGTTTAACAGTTGAGAGACTACGAATTGGTACAACAAAACCAGTAAATAGCACATTATTGATGATAATTATAAACGGAGATAATTATCTGAGTTTCAGGCGGTGCGGTCTTCGCGGTTGACGTCATCGAGAATGACGACGAGAGAGGCAATGAAGGCATAATCGACGTTTGGATAAACAGTCACTGAAAAATTGTCTTTTCCCAAAAATACGCTCTGCACTGTGTGCTTCCTGTGCATCTGCCCATCAAAAACCATACCATTAAATTAATAAATGTTTTTTTTCTTAATTCTTCACAATTCATAAGCTAATGTATTATTTATTAGCTTTTGATCCAAACCGAAATCAAAACCGGCTTCTAAAACAGTAAACCAAAGACCAATACCGGATTTAAACATTGCTACTTTAATGTGTGAACTGTGGAGAGACATGTGAGATGATGCATAGAAATTGATAAATGAGATGGACCCTAAAGGACTTAAGTAATAAGTACTAATAATGAAGGAAAGAGAGTTTACTTGGGCAACAATGGCGTCAGATTCGCCGGCGTAAACAACACAAGAACGCTCGAGCCAACTCCCTTTGACTCTGAAGTCACATCTCTTCTCATCTTTGTTGTGTCCCAAAAACACATCAAGTTTTGTCTTTAGCTGAAGCATCGACGATCTCTTCACTGTGTAAAGCAGATCACGCTGCTCCGTGCTTCCTCCTCTAAACACTTGCCACCTGTCATGCATGCTCACCATCTGCAATCACAAAACCAACATACTTATTAATTATAATAAATCATCAAGCCTAGTTACGTGTATACATGTTGTGTGTGTGCGCTCTGTTTTTTAAAAACTAATCTCTGACCTTTTCTCTCAAAGTCACGACCGGATTACCAGAACCATCCAGCAAGATCCTCTTGTCGTGAAGACCAAACACCGGTTCCTTCACCTTGAACAGCAGGTTTCCGTTGACGTCCGTTATCACGAAGTTGCCGTCCGTAAACTTCATCATCTTCCGTACGATCGCCAGATCTACAGGGTAAGGAGCGCAATACCTTGGATCCACTATCACTCCTCCGGCTTGTGGAGGCGGAGGTCCCGAAGGCCCTGTGCCTTGTGGGTATGCATACACGTACGGCTGCTCCATTCTTTTCTTTCTCCTCCAAAATTGATTCACTGATCTCTCTATTTTTTGTTTTTGTTTTGCTTTGATTGTAATATTTTCTTTTTTTTGGTCTCGTTATGTCGTGAAGATAAGTTTCAGGGTCTTATTAGACTTTATAATAGAAATAAATATCTGATCGAATATGTTGACTTTTAAAAGAGAAAAGGTCTACAAGCATAAACTTTAATTTAAGATTAGATTAAGATTCCAAGATAAAGATTTCCTCTAAGAACAAACAAAAAAAAAGAGAATTAGATTTTAGAGGCTATTTTAATTATATTCCTTGTTACACTTTTCTTATTCATCAAGTAGACGAATATATCAAATTTTACATTATTGATGAAATTAAGTAAGGAATATATCAGGATAATTTGTTTCATAAATTTAACACGCTTGTCAATTTTCTTAACACGGTCCAAATCTGACGACGCGTTTTGTTACCTTAACACGGAAAAAATAGATTTTACTCAACGAATACCACCGACGTACGCGTCGACGGTCGTTTTATACAGCTTTGCTAATCAACCAAATATATTTATTCTTTTCTTCTTCCTCGACGTCTACCACTCCAATCATATTTTTTGGTTTTTTTCTTTTCCATACTTTTACAAATTAATATTTTTTCAACCATGGACGATTTCAGAATAAAAGATTCCATACCAATTAATTTCCATGTTCCTACAGAACTGAAATCAAATTGAAAAAAATACTCCAATTGTAGTCTCCCAAATAAAATTTTCAACTACTTGACCAACCACCAGCCAATTACTCTCCCCTTTTACGAATTAAATACAGTATAGCTAGCTCTTGGTCCGATTGAAACCATTTGTATGTTTATTACTTACTAAAATCAAAATCTATCAAATGTTCACATCATTTAAGGCCCGCCTAACACTCGTTCATATTGAGGCCACTGACTATTTAATACTGTTGCCATTAGTGAAGCCCGGTATATGGCCTAGGAAGATATATTAGCCCAATACATAAGGACGTTTATGGAATATGTGTGTTTTTATTCGGCGACATACAACAAAAATGTTGATGTAATTTTTTATTTGAAAGGAACTTTCGTCATCTATACAAAACAAAAAAAATCTAAAAGAAGTAACTAATTAGCTAAGCACTTCATTTTGTTAGAAAGTAAATCATCACGACATGAATGTCATTTTGACATTTTGCTAAACAATATACAGCTAGTATGCTAAAAGAGCAACAAATGTATCGAAAACGTTGATATACACACTGTATTTTTCAGATTGAATACAAATACCATTCGAAAAGGAGCGGTATGAAATTACGAGTCTGAAATGTGTGATTTATAACATTAACATGTAACTGGTATATCTCGCACGCTTGAAAGTGTACGTGCAACGTGTTTGTAAGTAATTTATGCCCGTAAAAGAGCAAACAAGGAAACCAGCAAGAGCAAGTATAATCTTTAAGAAATGAACGCATGCTCCACTAATCAATTACATTACTCATTAATATTTAATCGGTGATCTTATACATTTATAGTTTTATTATTTATATCAACCTCATTAATGATTAATTAGTTAGGTCAGAATGACAGAATCGCCCAGTTTCAAGATGGTCGCTGTTACTACTCTATACATAAAATTAAATAAAGAAACTATATGCAAGAAATAAAATTTCCTGAACAACTACAGTGTAGGAATATTAATGTTAATGAATATACAGATAAAACCGAAGAAAAGGAGAACCGGCTAATTAGTTTTAGTAATTTACACTTTGCTTGAAATGATATGACAGTTAGTCAGATGAAACATTGATTAATGACAAAATACCCCAATAGAATTAGCATCATAAGTAAATTTTCATTTAAAAGAAAAAGACTTTGAATAGTTAGTTGAATCTCCTATCTAATACTCGCTAATCGAAACTATGTTCATTATGAACAGCTTATATATAAGCGCGTCGCTAATCAAGATGCGTGATCAGATTCATATATATGATTACATATATATAAGCTTTGTTAATTAGACCTACCTGATACTTCCAAGACTAAGCTTCCCTTGCGTACGTACGTAATAGGTACTTTTGCAGGGCATCTACTTCCTCAAAATACGCGATCTAGGCTAGCTCTGACACACACAACACACACGTGTGTGTTTATCGATGTAAGTATATTCCCACGTGCGTCAGTTTATGACGAACACTGGAATCGTCGTCGTCACCAAGGTGGAGTGGTCATGATGGTGAAGATGGGCACATGAAGAACTAACTCATTTATATCATCACACTCCACACACACATATATATCTATATCTCTGCACATATACACGCATTTGTGGTGAGGGTGTATATATATGCAAACGAGATGAGCTAGTAATGCACGTGCCCTGCTTCTCCATCTTGCTCAGCACACACCTTCATCATACTCTCCGACCACATAACTGGGCCGGGATGATATATATATATATAGAGAGAGAGAGAGGGGGGGAGAGAGAGAGAGAGAGAGAGAGAGAGAGAGAGAGAGAGAGAGAGAGAGAGAGAGAGAGAGAGAGAGAGAGAGAGAGAGAGAGAGAATGTACTAAGTGCTTTCTCATTTATAGGAAATGGAAATATTTATTTTAATTACCTTAGGGTATGATTTGTCTTGATTTGAACAAAAGAAAATATATGTGCACCTTGACAAAAAAAAAATATGTATTGTGTATGTCAATAGATTTTTTTTTTTGATATACCTACACACTAGATCTCTCTTTAATTAGAATGCAAATCTTGTAAATTTTTAATAAGAAAATCTTGTAGGTTTTTGATATTTGAAAACGTGATTCCAAATTGATAATTCACCATAGTTACTTTGTTGTGATTCTAATTACCAGATAACAGCATTTATTTGAATTTCCCACAATAAAACCGAAAAATACATCAAAAAGATAATGGAGACAGCATGCTGACCCATGAACATGCTACCCAAAATCCCCAAGAAAGTGTGTGTGTGTGTTTGCATATGTACACGCACATTTTTATAATAATGTTCTTGAGGACCACAACACACCTATGTAGAATTTAGGTTGCATAAGCTATGGATTATACGTATCACTATTTGACGTTAAGTTGCTTCATTTTTATTTTATTTAACGTCGGTTTTTAAATTTACTTTTAAAAACTGACGTTATCGACCGTGTTTTTGGTAGTATACTAATCTCGTCCGTATATATATGTATATGTCAATTTACTATATGAGGTTTTTTTTTTAACAGCACTATATGAGGTTTCTTTTGATAATTACATGCTTAATTTGAACAAATTGTAGCAGTGTGAACACAAAAAAAAAACTAATTATAGCCGATTGATCAATGAAAAAAAAAAGTGAGGTAAAAATTTGGAATTAGGTAGAGATTTTAATATTCTTCTATTTATAGAGAAATATTTCTGGTGAAATCATTAAAGAGTACCATCCGACAGCTCAATGACTTTTCTTTTTCGACATTAAGGTAGGACTTAAGAAAATCATGCTGTCGTAATTATTATTACATCAAATCCATTCCCTTTTCCTTTATCTAATTTTATCCAACTAATCACTTTTTTTCTCTTTTGCAAACTCAAGCGTTTATTTTTTCTAATTTGATATACATTTGAAAATAAATACTCCATTATATTTGCGATCAATTTCCCTCCATTCCATATTTTATTCTGTTCATTTTTAATAGTATCATTTTTCTTTTGTATATATATAAAGGGCAATCTTTTAAAAAACAAACCTAGTTAGCAAATTATTCTTTGAAAAGTGTCTACTTTTCGAAATATCACATATATAAATGTTAAGTATAACTAACTATATGGTGAAAGCTAGTTTTTCAGTAACAAGAGGAATGTATTTGAGCCAACTTTGCTATATTCCCCATCTTGCATATCTAACAGTGAGAGTTTTTTTTTATATGTCATACACAGACATTTTTGTCAAATTTTTGTTAATTAAAAACTATTTTATTGGGTTATATACCCTCAGCTACCATTGTTTGTTGCATACATTTAATCCGATTCTAACTGTATAACATTATTACGTTGGGGCCATATCAATTTTTTTTTTGGGTAGCTTTTCATATATATATATATATGTATATATATACGATAGATGCTCTTGTAGATCTTTGAATATATTTTTGGGCGAATTAGCGAAATATACGGATGATCGTACATTGTCAAAAAAAATATGGATGATCGTACATGAAATTATTTCTTGAACATAAACCAAACTAGTATTTGATTTCAAAAACACTTTGCGTTTATGTCAAATATTTAAAAAATGGTAAGAGAGATAATTTCTCTTCAAAATCATATGACTATAGTATTATGATCCCCCAAATCAAAATATGAGGTTTGATATGAGGAGGAGATATTTACAAGTTCATATATATATATATATATATATATATATATATATATATATATATATATATATATATATATATATGTGTTGTGAGTTGTTATATAGCACTCTTCTGCATCATCGGTTGCTAGGATGCAAGAAATATTCATGCAAAAGCTTTATTAACTTTGACTTGTTTTTTTTCACGCATCGTTTGCTACTCGATCGGTATATAGATCATAACGAACAAAACTTACCCGTTATTATTAATATAAAAAAAATTCTTGATTTAATTTTCTGGCAATAATAGTGGTGAATATAATGTCAAGAAATTTTGGTTGAGTCGGTAAAATTGGTTTAATAGAAATATATCGGTTCTAATATTGTTGTAGAAAAAGATGGTGATTGTTGGTGTGGAATGAGAAACGACAATGTGGGACTCAAAATTGCCCACCCTATTTAAAGTCTCTATCAAAGTCCACTTCTAAGTTCTAGGTCCTATCTCATGAAAATCATTGAGATGCTTCTCTTGTCTTCAAACAGTTTTTTTTTTTTTTTTTACCCTTGATTTTCAATGTTTTCTCTTTGAATAGGAATTTGAATTGAAGGTCTAGGTTCACCATTCACGACTTGCCCAAGTCAGGTCAACTTTCTTTTTCCCTTATAATATAAATATAACTGTACAAATTTTCGTTTTCAAAAGTTGTTTTGACTACTCTATCTGCCAAAAAATGTTACTATTCTTCCTATTATTATTCATATTAAATTAAAAGTTTTTTATGTTGTACAATACTCCCTCCGTCCCACAAAGATAGATTTTTTAGAAATTTCACATTCTTTAAGAAATAATGTATAATAACAATTTTACCCTTTTAATCATTTAATACATTTTAAAGAATATATTATTTATTGTTGTTTAATGAGGGTAAAATGGGTAAACTGTATTAAATTTGACATTGGAAACCCAAAACTTCTATCTTTGTGGGACAAATTTTTTTTCTAAAACATTCATCTTTGTGGGACGGAGGGAGTATATGTTAACCGTTCACAAAATGGTTCGGATAATTATCAAATTTGTTACATAATTTTGTCAAACCTGGTAGGCTAATATTAATCTAACTAATAATTATGGATTTGATAGAATTAAGGAAAATTCATTGTTTCTCATTCGAATGTCCAAATCAACGAATTATCTGTGAGTCTATGACCATGAGGATTAATTCACTCTTTACTCTTATACACTTTTTCGTTTCCTCGAGAAAAAAAAAAGTAAGAAAAATGTAAAAAGAAAAAGACAACACAGATGGGATGTAGTGACAGAAATACAAGTCCCCTTCAAGAGATCATGAGAAATCTTTAACAGCCTATGAGCACACAATTCTACAATGACTCCATTTTCAAAAGTTTCATTGCGTTGCTTGCATGGACCTGATTATATAGATACGTGACCGTGTATATATAGGTTGATCGATATCTAATTGACTATGAAACGTTTCTTCGAATCTTATTAACTTTCTTGATTTTTTTGTATAACCAATTTGTAGAATTGTAGTTCAAAATGTGTGGCACTTGCAAATTTTTTATGGGATATTCTGTTCGAATCATGGGAACGACACGTGGCATTCCACTGATTCCACTGTAAAAGAGAAGAGTGATGGAGATGTGAGTGGGGAGAATACAATTATGTGATAAAATTTAGAATAATTCCATAACCGAAGTCGTGCCAAAAAGTTTTTTTTATGCAAAAGACAACAACACTTTCAAATTTTCATACATCCATTCGATTATTTATATTGGTAAAGCAAAATTGACATCACATTCCCATTCTAACAAGTTAAACTTGACTATTCTATTGGGAAAATTTAATCAACCAATTAAGAATATGTGAAAAAACTTTTAAACAATTGATTAGTCAATTATGCCTTAAGAACTTTGGACCATAAGCCAATAACTATGTATATTTGTTCTCATTTTCATGAATCACGTCATGTGAAGCCTCTTATATCTTTAGCATGGTTGCTTGATATAACATTCGAAGGGAAATTAGACTAAGTGGTGGTTATTTTTGAGCAATATTTCCTTGTTATAACCATTCTTACTAAAACAAATTGCAGATTTGATTAGTACCAATCAATGACTTTTTGTGATCTTGATTTAGACAAATTTATTTTGTATTTCCATTCTAGTTTTGGTTTATCATAACATGCATCAGCAAATCTAATCATTCTAATTTGTATAGACAATACTTGTAATTGGCAATACCAAATATAAAAGTATTGATAATAATTCACATTTCTTGTTGAAATATAGAAGACAAAGTATGTAAATATTGGTTGTCATTCAGACATATTTAATGGACATCTCACCAACGAGCACATAACTCTCTTTAACTGTCGGTTCAATTATTTTAAGGTGATCTACATAGTATTTTCAATTGTTTCCGTTAAAAGATATATAGCCAATATATTGCTAACTCATCGTCTTTCAAGATTATGATTTTGAAACCCTAGTTTGTCTAATCCCAACAAAATAATACTAACCCACAAATTAACTAGTCAAACTGTATCGTCTCGTGGACGCGCGTAGGCATTGATGTGGCTGCAGTAGCGAAGAGAAATGGTTCCAACTTCCAAACCATGTGGTCTATCTCGGCCCAAAATCTATTATTGCGTTTTAAATATATTATATGAATGGAAACTAAATATGATAAAGGTAATTGTTAAAAACATATATAGATTTTGATTGGCAAAATATATCATATATAATTTCCCCATCGCCAAGTATGGACTAAATATTAATTTGATTAGATGATGCTAATTTAAAATCGATGAGAAAGTAGGTGGCAAACATATATCACTCGAAATATGCCACTCACACCAGATATGCGAACTTACTGTTGCGACACAGAGCAGACTTTAAGTCATTATTCTATTGTCACGCTTAACTAGTGTTAAGTGCTAATTATATATCTATTAATTTTTTTTGTTTTAATCTGAGCTGTTCTCCTCTATTTATCAAAATTAATATCTATAGATCTACATATAT